TTGTAATGTGTACACAGAAATCGATTAATCCGAGTGATAAATCGGCGCGGGGTCTTTCTCTTTTCTTTTTGTTTTCGAGCGCTTCGGTAGCGAAAATTTAGCGGACGCTGATTTATAGAGGCGCTGCGTTTTGTCTGCCGATGCCGATCTCCGGAAAAGCAGGATTTAGCGAACCTCGGACGTATACGCTTTCCGGAACCTATTTAACGTGACGCTGGCGCGTTAATTATAACACGCGATTATTCGTTTTTTTTTTTTTTTTTTTCATCTCTGTTTCCGTTGCGTGTATATTATTTCCAAAAGATTTATGGATTCCAGCGCCCGAGGCGAGACTATTGGGGAAAAAAGGTGCAATTCAACGTTACGAATAACACTCCGGAGCTAATTGGAAAATCAATTTGGGGCTACGTTGGAATCACGCGGGGAGACAACCATCGCCAAAGCCACTTTTTACCTATACCGGAGGGTGAGTTTTTCGCGGGGAAAAAAAAAAAAAAAAATTACGGTATCGAAAGTTGCAAACGGCACACCCAATGGTAATCTCGTTAATCTCAAAATTACGAGCGATTTGTCATTGCGCCACGTGGGGGGGAAGGATAAAAACGAAATTTCAGAGCCACGGTAAATCACCCAAAGTATTTTTCGCGACCAGACAAACAAAAAAAGACACCCCTGGAAAATTGGACGATCGAGCGTGGCGCGTCGGTTTCAAAGGCACACGAAGAAAATCCTTTTTCCTTCCCTCTTGGCTTAAAAAAAAAGGGGGGGGAGGTGGGGGTACATAATCTCCCATCAGTGGAGGAAATTCCGGTACCTGAGTGAGAGAGGCCGGAAAAGGGCTCGCAAAGGATTGAGAAAAGGGGGCGAGTACACTCGGAGGGACATTCGCTCCGCTGTCGCAGTAATAAAAGCGAGGTCCGACCTACATTGTGTATACCCCTTGTGGGGAACGCCCTGCCTTTGAAATACATTATGCTCGTGCATCCGTGCAGTTTCTTTTTTCCCGGCCGGGGTAGGCGACCGTTTATAGATTTTTTTTCTTTTTTTTTTTTCGAGCTTATTTTCTCTCGCACAGGCTCGTCCGGCACTCACTTGGCCTCCCCTTTGAACGGGTCGTGTTTTTCCTCTTCCGGGCTTATCCGCTCCGCAACTCGTCACGGCTCTCTTCTTTCGATGAATCATCGTTTATTTTCATAGAAAAGCTCTTTTGTTAATACCGCGGGATGAGCATAATTTGCCCAAACTACGCGAATAATCTTTTTCTCGTTCAATTGTTTTTCGAACAGCAAAATTTTCGGTACTGATCTACATTCAGACTTGGGCACAAATACTTTATGGATTATTTATCAGAATATTTTTTTTCTGAATAAAATGCATTCCTTTTTGCGGAAAAATTTTTTATTGCAACATATTTCGGACGTTAAAGTCTATTGTAATGAATTTGTAAAAATCTTGTTAATCACTGTGTAATAAGTAGTAAATGATGCATCACGCTAGTGACAAAAAAAATAATTAAAAATCATCCATACCCAAATCTATCTATATTTATCTGATCTAGGTCGTGGCAAAGGCTAATTTAAATACCTACGAAGTAATGTTTTTTTTTTTTTTTATCAGCCATTTGTGAGTATTATTTATTAATGATTTCTTATCTAAACTTGATTAGTTTCACATTAACGATGTAACTATATCTTAATTGTTTAAGAACGTTGTAACGAGGCAAACTAGTAAATTATCAGCAAGATATCACTGAGGTGACCATAATCTTTGATTTCCACGAACAAATTAATAATATATTGTAACAAAGACTTTTTAATGGCCTTCCGCTATAATCACAATATAAGTTCACCGCACTACATTCAAAATAAAAAACAAAAACAAACAAACATCTTCACCAAATTATTTTAGCCCGAAGATTTTTCCTCGCGCCTAGCCCTTTTTTTTAATCACCGCGACACGCCTATCGTCGCACATCCCCGATTAACCTTTCGCCAAGCAACGCCTCGCGCGTGTCATCCCCGCAACGACATTTTTTCATTCCGACGCGAGCTTTGCCTCTACCGTCTCAAGTGCACAAGCTAATCTCCGAGTTTCCAGCGGCACATTACTCGCCATTCGCTTTCCGATTCTATTTTTGCGAGATTACCATGATGAAAAAGCCGACCCTCCACCCGCGCGTTCGCGGAATATCAAAGTTTGATTGCGAGCATGACTGCCGGGGACTGTACGAGATTGTATACATGATTTTTTTTGGGTAAGCCGAGCTTGACTCTCTGCTGCATCACGTATTTTTATGCACAACAATCGCCGACGTAGTGACGCGAGGATGAGTCAAGTGACACCGGGTTGATGTTCTCTCTATATCGGTCGCGAATTGTTGTGCCTTGACGCGCTTCCTAACGGCCGTGATAGTGCATGTTGGGTACAGATAAAAAAAAAAAAAAAAAAAAAAAAAAAAAAAAAAAAAGAAAAGAAAAAAAAAGAGAGTTACTTTCAGAGCTCAGGACTCGTTTGAGCTGCTCGATATGCGATACGATGGCGTTCCAAGGTATTGTGCGATGAGGTATTTCGAGGTGTCCTCTGATGTGGTATGCGCTATCGGACGCGGATCGCTTGGAATAGATTTTACCTGCAGATACGGTGCACTGATACCCCTTTTCTTCTTCTCAAGTACATTTTTCAATGACCACCTGTTGGCAGATCGCGCGTGTATACACAGGGCATATACCATGCAATGAATCAATTGTCGTTTGTCATACATTAACGGCAGTGAGTAACGTATCGGAACAACAATTGTTTTTTCAATCGAGTAGATGATATATATATATATATATATATATATATATATATATATATATATATATATATGTACACACATACATTCAAGGTGATTAGAAATAAAACTGTAATCGATAGCGAGAATAAAAACCTTATGCACGTTTTATTTATACAATGTCACAGCGAGGTACGAGTTTTCCGGTTTATTGAACTTTCATTGCCTTTGTAGTAATTTTTTCTTATTTTTTCCTTCTCTCTATTCGTCACCGAATAAAATTATCCACTATAGTTTGCATCGCACTATACGTTTTGTGCTTGAACAAAAAAATGACGAAAAGCCAACCCATCGAGACGACGATTACCCCTTTTTTTGTTGCTTCCTAACTAGTTAAAGGTTAGAATGAGCTGAAAAAATAAAAATTTATCGTATACGTGTCCCCCCCAAGGCGCAACAATCGATCTCGTAACTTCAGCATAACCCTCGCCCGTCTGTACAAAAAGGAAGAGAGAAAGTATTCTACATTTCACGGAGACAAGACACCATCAACGGTCGCCCATCACAAAGTTATTGTCTCCGCTCGCGTGGCCGTAAAGAAATTGTGCTCAAGGCGGCCGGAGAGAGGAGAGAAAAAAAAAAGGAAAGGCGGAAGATGAAGAAAGTCGCCGTAGACGCCCCCCCCCCCCCACGGACGTGTACTCGTGTACACTATACAACTATGATGTACCCGTGCATTGTAGAGGCGAGTGTTCGGAGTCGAGAAAAAAGCTTCGAAAGCAGCTCGCCGGGAGCTTCCGTTTTTCATCGATTACGCGCTCGGCTGCCGCGTCTTATCGTCGGCTGCACGGAAGACTCCGGTGGTCATGCATCGCCTCGTATACCCCCGCGCGTTCATATTTATATACTTACTGGTACGAGTTTTTCGGGGGGGATGGCCGTTAATCCCCGAGCGACACTTTGTGCCGTATACATGCGAAAGAAGGGGTTTTTTGTCAAATTGAAAAGATCCTCGACGTTAACAATACCTTACTCGTATAAAAACCAATGCATCTGTTACGCTCTTGTGTGCAAGATTCTTGAGGTGCATACGCATATTGTTACACGTATACAACACACGTACACGGTGTATAAATTATAAGCGAAAAAAAAAAATACTTATGCATTTGCTCAAACGCATACGCCCAATTAGGTGTCTCAAGAGTACACAATACGTATAGCTCTCCAACTTGCTGCAGAGTATAGGTACACTATATATGAGCATACGTGTAGCAAAGGGGTTATATTTCTGCCCGGATTTTTTTTTAAGAATATACTATAAGTACGCGTGTATGCAGATTGCACGAAGTGGCGGTGTGGTGACCGTGCGGTCGAGTGTCCCGCTGCACATAAAGAGCGAGAGATGAAGCGAAACGAAAAAAAAAAAGACGACGATGACGAACAAATAAGAGAGCAAAAGTGACAATTGTGTTCACACACACACAGCGATACCATAGTCCACTCGTTTCTCAACGACGAACGAACAACACTATTTTTTATCCGTGAACGGAGTAGACATAGAGAGAGAGAGAGAGAGAGAGAGAGAGAGGATGTTTGATTTGTGCGAGTGATACAGGTACACCGACTGTATAAAATGACAACTATATAAAGTGATGTTGTTTTGCACAAGTATTAGTCGATGAATCTCAACCAATTTGTAGCCACGATAATGCAAGCCAAGAGGGGTAAAATCAACACTTTGGCTTCGCATATGTGTCGGACGGGGCTTACATTCTTTCGAACCGCTATCCCTGCAGCCATTTGAAGCTTCAGAAATACATGTAGATGGATGTACATATGTGTCTGTGTTTTAATTTCACCCACGCCTCCCACGCACGTCTCTCTCATTACTTTTCATCTTATTACCAATTAACACTGAAAAAGAAGTATGGACATGTTGTACAGTATGGCATGAAAGAGAGAACGAGAAAAAACCCCGTAGGAAATAGGAATCCCTTCAACATTTACATGCTGCGTGTGTAAATGTCTATACAGATTCGAATTTTCAAAATAAACGACGAGTGGAGTATATATAGCTATAGCGCTTATGGTGGATGTGATGGTGGGGAGGGAAAGGGAAAGGGGAAGAGAGAGAGAAAGAAAATCTCGGAGCGGCGAGCGTCGCGCCGCCGCCGCCGCTACTGCTGCGAACTTCTCACGGAGCCATCAGTCGGCTGCCGAAAGCGCACCTAGTTGGACGTTGAATCCATGTCTCATCAGTTCGTAATTTACCCAAGTTTGGCTCTACATCATTTCAACTCTTCTGTAAAATACTTATTATATACTTACTAAGAAAATCCGTACGTTAAGGACAGCAAGAAACACCTGCGTATCGCCCCATGTCTGTATCTTCGAGTTGTATATATGTATAACCGTTTTCGCGAGTGTTACTTTTTTCGCTCTCGATAGTATTAAAAGTTTTCGTGAACGCGCGTGTGCATGTGACAAAAAACTTCGATGATATTACGCACAGTGCGGTCGTTGGTGCGAAACGGGAAAAAAACACTCGGTAAATAATGGCGTTCGCGAGTGAAGCAGTGCAGACGAGCTGCACGAGCAGTGAGGTTGTTGTCGCGGGTTAAGGTGGCGATAGCAGTTTTTTATTTGTTGAAATAAGCCTTTTCGGCGGGTTGTTGTGAGTTTTTTGAAAAGGACAAAGTCTGTCGCAGCCGACAGAGCATGAACATGATGATCGCGCCCCAGGTCGTGGGTGTCCTGCTCAAGAAGCCCGGCCAACAGCAGAGCTGCCATCATCGCAGTCCCAGGATTCCTCCGGTCGATCATCAGGAAACCAAAATTAGAGGTATGTATCTATGCGCCAACCGTTGATTTATCGTTCGATCGCAAGAGCATTCGGAGAACTATACGAAATTTTGTCTAAGGCTAGCCCAGGGCAACCTTAGAGTGACCCTATCGGCAAATCATTAAGACGTATAGGTAGACCTGTCGATAAGTCTTTCGAACCTCTCAATCTCTGTCTATGCTCGCTCGTTTTTAGATGTTCCCCGTTGACCTTAGATTTTTGTCTGTACACCATTCAAATCATTTATCGTGACCCGGATTCGATGCGCGTATCCCGGTTAATACAATACCTACTCATATATATGCATACACACATGTGTACGAGTTCAAATGCTACTTATGCCGGATTTGAAAGTTTTCGTTTTTTAACGAACGGCTGGGATTTAGCGTACAGAGGTGCGCGTGTCAAGTTTAATCTTTTGTATTTCATCGTGTGTTGTGGGTATTGTGCGGTGCAATACGTATATAAATATATGCAAGCATATAATACGGACAAGACAGATAAGTATGGCAGATATTGTGGTTTTTGCTGTTGTTGTTACTGCACCGCAGTAGTTGTACTTATATTTTCCAAACGTCTAGTTTTACATGCACTTGTCTCTTGTGTTTCATATTTTTTTAAATCAATTGTTTCTTTTTATGATTCACACTTTCAATTTCAACCAAATTATGAGCTCACTATTAAATTTTACTTTAATTTTTTTTTTTTTTTAAATGCACATAGTAGATACAAGTCATACTTGACAAAGCGTAAAATACTATGACCTGGTTTTGAAATCTCAACTTTATATTATACAGTGGCGCTTGGATAATCATATTGATAAATTCGATGCTGTAAAAATTCTCAACTATATAGACGTTTAGTCCCGAAAGCATGTGTTTATGTTTATAAGTTACATTTACAGGTAGATGGATTCTGAGCAAAGTAGAAACATTTAAAAATACTGAATACAAGTTTGCTAGAATGTTTGCGTTATAATATACTCGGTGTATTGCTGATACTTGCGTACAAAGTTAACGCATCACAGGTGGGTGAGAAAATTTTGCAATGGTAAACACATACGAAGTACGATCGTGAAGGACGTGTGATAGTATCGAGATAAGAACGATGTCAGCGATCCTTGCCTTCGATTATTCTATTACTTGGATTTTTGCCAACTCACATGAACCTTATCTCATGTCATCGTGGTACCTATACAAGTACACGAGACAAGAAAATTTCGTAACTCGCGTGATTACACCAACTTTGAAAAATAATTTCGTAGAAAGCATTACGTACAAGCTACCTTCCTACATACCTACCTAGAAAAATAAATTAAAATCATACACGTAACCCAACGAAAAACCAAGCAGAAAAAGAAAAGTTTCGCGAGTATATAAGTAAGTGCTCCTCCTGCGGCGCTCAATGTGGGAGCGCTTTCAGAGAAAAACTCGAAAACGACAACAAGCGACGTTGAAACTTCGGAGAAATGATGTTACGTTTGCAAGGTACACTTGTGCACGTACATAATTATACATACAAGGATATTTGTTATTATTTTATTACAACGTGATTGAAAAATTTTCAAGTTATTCAGAGTCCCGTGACATTATAATAAATATTGTTGTAAGTGGTCTGATAGATCAGGTTTTACTTGAAGTAATGCATTTTAATTGCTTGCGTCTATTCTAAGATTAATTTTGTTTACAATTTAATACTAAACACTATGTATTACTCATAATTACCTGTCAATATTTATAACATTTTATTTTTAGTATTTCTAAAATTAAGAATGAATGTATTGCTTACTAGAAATCTTACTCTGTTTGATTATTTCATGAAAAAAAAGGAAAATACGAGAAAGTTCAACGATATTTGCATTGATTCGTACATTTTCTTCAAACATGATTATTCATCCGTTACATAACACCACGCAATCCACACTATACATCATCGACGTGATTCAAATAAATATTACCCGCATTCTCTACCTAAGCGCTAATGCGCATTCCAAATGCCAATACGCCTCGATCACCGATACCCTATTAATAAAAATATGATCATTAACCGCAACTCGAGCCTATTATTAATACAAATACATTCAAAACAGCTCATACAGAGAAACAGAAAAAGAGGAACGCTATCAGCGATAAATTAGCGGTGATGCAATGGAACACGCGAATGGGATTTTTTTTTTATCATCCGGCGAGATCGAATATATACGCACACACGATCTTCAGCCATGACAGCACTAGCGTGTGATTACACGCTCTCGCGCGCCCTGAATGAACGGATGATGATTCTGTGTATTTTATTCTTTGATTTTTTTTTTTTTTTTTTTTTTTTACATTAAAAGTACGAGCATCTCCTAGTGTCTTGATGTGTCTCCTAGTCAAGGTCACCGGGCGCCTCTTTATTGTTTTCGATGCGCACATTTACCATTCCCTCGAGTCGTCGTCGAATTCACACGGATAACCGAGTCATCCTCGCCACCTGCGCCAATTCACGTGAGAACGCCTTANTTTTTTTTTTTTTTTTTTTTTTTTTTTTTTTTTTTTTTTTTTTTTTTTTTTCTTACATTAAAAGTACGAACATCTCCTCGTGTCTTGGTGTGTCTCCTAGTCAAGGTCACCGCGCGCCTCTTCATTGTTTTCGATGCGCACATTTACCATTCCCTCGAGTCGTCGTCGAATTCACACGGATAACCGAGTCATCCTCGCCACCTGCGCCAATTCACGTGAGAACGCCTTATTTATCACTCGCAATCGAATAATGAAATCGACCGACCTCTGCTCCGGGAGATCTCGAAAAAACACAGCACACACGAGAGCGAAGTTCAGTCTGGAGGGAGAAGCCTCTATTTATACCCGTTTGGAGTTTTTGCGTGTATTTTTCAACGAAAACAAGCCCGCGGTAATTGGCGCTTCTGCGGGGAAGAGGTGGCCGAGCGAGCCCAGCTGGAGCGCACTTTGCGAAAACACTTTAGCGCGTAAGCCCGAGAGAAGGAGGAGTCGATTTATCAGTAGCTTCCACATGGTTTCGGAGGGAAAAAGAGAGCGAGGGCCGTGCCAAAAACGAGGCTCTTTTGCGCTTTTTGGGTGACCTTATCCCTCTGGCCAAGCGTGTACCCATACACATATATGTTTTTGTTCGTTTTCGCCCGCTTGATAAAGCCCCTGCACGTGCGGGAGAAAAATAACACACGCAGCTGCTAAGTACCTACGATCTTTCTCTCGCGCTCAGCATATACTCGTGCATGTGAGTGTTTAAAAGGCATTAAAATTGCCAAACAACTAACTCTCTGGTGCTGCGGTGCTCTTGAGAAAAACAAAACAAGGAGGTGGATGAAGCCCAAGACGAACGGCCTCCGAACAGCGTTCACCATGTTGCAAGCGAGCGCGGGGCGGAGGAAATGGTCGCTAAAAATAACGCCATCCATCCAAAAGAGAGAGAGAGAGAAAGAGGAACTGCTGCAGCAGCAGAGAAGGCCTTGCTCCGATAAATCAGCATTTCCTCTCTCGCTCTCCTCGACCGCTGCTCCATCGCGACGATTTTCGTTGCCGCCACCCTTCGGATGCACCGTCGAAAAATATACGCCCAAATCCGACGGACAAAGAAGAAGTGCACTGAGCTCGGCTTTTTTTAATCATTCGTGTTGCACCTCTACCCTTTCGTTAATTCTATGACGGATGGCGCAAAGTTGTAATGTGCGAAAAATCGTTGGTTTGTTTTCGTTGGTGCGCGCCGCCTCGATCGAAAGAAATAATAAACAAATCCATTGCACAATTCTAGACTCGGAGTGTCGCTGTTTATCATGGCGTGTATGCAATTTAGCGCCGTTTTTTACATGATACCATCGTGACGATGCGTTTGTTGATAATCTACATCTCCCCGTATGTAACGAATTCATGACTAAACTATCGCAAGATTGCTCGTTCGATTCGAGTGGAATTTTTTTTTTTCTCTTACTTGCGGGATTACTGTCCAAAACAACCAACTCTTGATGGATAAGATCACGTTAACCGTGAGCTTCTGGTGGAGTTTTCAATCGATACAGGTCAGGACAAAAGAAACGTAGGTTTCGCGGGAATCACAAGGGCGTACACATGTCCGAACGAGCGGGAAGTTAGCATTTGTTTTGGCCCCCGTGTGCACGAGAGATCCTTTTAAAACCTTCAGGAGCGATAATGGAAGAGAAGGGGGTGATGCTCCGAAAATGTATAGCCGCCGCGCTTTGAAGTACTTGGCCCTGCGGAGGGGGGAAAGGGGAAAAACCTCAGCGGAGCGATCGATGGCTGGTATAGTGGTACATGTATACCAACAAGTCCCGTGAAAAGGTGCAATTAAGCATCGACAAATCTGTTTTGGCAGAGCCCCAAAAAGGGGTGTATGTGATCCCTCTCCCTACCTTGATTTCCGACTACTGCCCTGGCCTCGTAGCTTATCGTCTTATGTACGCAGTTTTTTTTTTTTTTTTTTTTCCAACTCACCCCGTAAATTACGAGTTTCAGGCAGATTAAATCTCGTATATATTTTTATCGGTCGAAATAAGGTTTATTTATAATCACTGTAAACTAAATTAGACAAAAACATCCAAGCCCGCACTATACTGTACTCTCTCGAAACTTGGAAAGATCAGCTCGATGCTATTTTTACATTTTTTGAGTTTTGTACATGAAAAAACAAACGAAAACTAAAACTGACCAAAGAAAAAACAACAACAAAAATTACGAATGGTCAGAACATGCTCGTTATGACCCAGAGATGGGACTGTCGACCAAATTTTCTTAAATATCATACTAAAATTGCTAACTCTACAAAAAAGGGGATTCAAACATCATTTTCGCAAGCATTAAAGCGGATGGTGCGTACATGAGGACCATTAACCTTGTCACGTGAACAAAGGACCAACTCTAGTGCACGACTGTAATACGTACACATATGTGCATCATTGACGATTCGAGCCCCGTAATCCGGTATCTGGGCTAGAGTGCCGATAACGGGACCGGCGTGTCCTCTCT